CTCTCTCTCTCTCTCTCTCTCTCTCTCTCTCTCTCTCTCTCTCTCTCTCTCTCTCTCTCTCTCTCTCTCTCTCTCTCTCTCTCTGTGTGTGTCCATCCCTCTCCCTCTCTTTGGCATTGAAGAGTTTTTCCCTAACGTGTCATTGAAGACCTTTTCCCGAAATCGGATCTCGTCTTTTTCAAGCAATATTACACGTGGAAATCGAAAAAAAAAAAAGGGGAGAGGGAGATCAACCCCCTCCCCTGTGAGATCACACAGCAAACGTGGCATTGAAGACTTTTTCCCGAAATCGCATTTTCGTCTTTTTCAAACAATATTAAATGTGGAAATCGAAAAAAAAAAAGGGCAGAGGGAGATCAACCCCCTCCCCTATGAGATCACAGAGCAAACATGGCATTGAAGACCTTTTCCCAAAATCGCATTTCGTCTTTTTCAAGCAATATTACATGTGGAATTCGAAAAAGAAAAACGGGGAGAGGGAGATCAACCCCCACTCTCCTTTGCGAGGACACTGCAAACGTGGCATTGAAGACCTTTTCCCGAAATCGGATCTCGTTTTTTTCAAGCAATATTACATGTGGAAATCGAAAAAAAAAAGGGTAGAGGGAGATCAACCCCCTCCCCTGTCAGATCACATAGCGAACGTGCCATTGAAGACCTTTTCCCGAAATCGCATTCCCTTGTTTTCAAGCATTACAAATTGTGGAAATCGGAAAAAAAAAAGGGGAGAGGGAGATCGACCCCCTCCCCTATTACATCACACAGCAAACGTGCCATTGAAGACCTTTTCCTGAAATTGCATTTTCATCTTTTTCAAGCAATATTACATGTGGAATTCGAAACAAGAAACGCGGAGAGGGAGATCAACCCCCCCTCTCCTTTGGGAGGACACTGCAAACGTGGCATTGAAGACCTTTTCCCGAAACCGCATTTTTGTTTTTTTCAAACAATATACATTGTGGAATTCGAAAAAAAAGGGGAGAGGGAGATCAACCCCCTCCCCTACGAGATGACACAACAAACGTGCCATTGAAGACCTTTTCCCGAAATCGCATTTCGTCTTTTTCAAACAATATACATTGTGGAATTCGGATCTCGTTTTTCCAAGCAATATCACATGTGGAAATCGGAAAAAAAAAGGGGGAGACGGAGATCAACCCCCCCTCTCCTTTGCGAGGACATTGCAAATGTGGCATTGAAGACCTTATCCCGAAATCGGATCTCGTTTTCTTCAAGCAATATTACATGTGGAAATCAAAAAAAAAAGGGGAGAGGGAGATCAACCCCCTCCCCTATGAGATCACACAGCAAACGTGCCATTGAAGACCTTTCCCGAAATAGCATTTCCTTGTTTTCAAGCATTATGACTTGTGTAAATCGGGAAAAAAAAAAGGGGAGAGGGAGATCAATCCCCTCCCCTATTAGGTCACACAGCAAACGTGCCATTGGAGACCTTTTCCCGAAATCGCATTTTCGTCTTTTTCAAGCATTATTACATGTGGAATTCGAAAAAAAAAAGGCGGAGAGGGAGATCAATCACCCCTCTTCTTTGCAAGGACACTGCAAACGTGGCATTGAAGACCTTTTCCCGACACTGCAGTTCGTTTTTTTCAAACAATATACATTGTGGAATTCGAAAACAAAAGGGGAGAGGGAGATCAACCCCCTACCCTATGAGATGACACAGCAAACGTGCCAACTTGAAGACCTTTTCTTGAAATCGCATTTTTGCCTTTTCCAAACAATATTAAATGTGGAAATCAAAAAAAAAAAAGGGAGAGGGAGATCAACCCCCTCCCCTATGAGATCACACAGCAAACGTGCCATTGAAGACCATTTCCCGAAATCGCATTTCCTTGTTTTCAAGCATTATAAATTGTGGAAATCGGGAAAAAAAAAGGGGAGAGGGAGATCAACCCCCTCCCCTGTTAGATCACACAGCAAACGTGTCATTGAAGACCTTTTCCCGAAATCGCCTTTCGTCTTTTTCGAGCAATATTACATGTGGAAATCGGAAAAAAAAAGGGGGAGAGGGAGATCAACCCCCCCTCTCCTTTGCGAGGACACTGCAAACGTGCAATTGAAGACCTTTTCCCGAAATCGGATCTCGTTTCTTTCAAGCAATATCACATGTGGAAATCGAAAATAAAAAGGGGAGAGGGAGATCAACCCCCTCCCGTATGAGATCGCACAGCAAACGTGCCATTGAAGACCTTTTCCCGAAATCGCATTTCCTTGTTTTCAAGCATTACAAATTGTGGAAATCGGAAAAGAAAAGGGGAGAGGGAGATC